TTCTGCCATAAAATGCCTCAGAATTCTGACTTTCCAAAGGTAAAGGCACAGAAATGAAAATGCGGGGAAGTTCAGGCAAAAAATTTAAGAACCACATGATTAAAATATTTGAAGAGATCAAAGACGAAACAAATCAGCAAATGAATCAGATGTTCAATGAGCTGATAGAGGATGCACTTTAGCCAACCCCCCTTCCCCAAAACGATTTAATTATATGATGTCCAGTGAGCTGAAAGAAAACACAAGGAAGCTGTTTCAATTTAGGGAATCAATGCAGAATATGGATGACACTTTAGTAAAGAATTAGAATAAAGAAAAAATAAATAGATTCCAATACAAGCACAGTGGGAACTTCAATACCCCACTCTCACAAGGAGTCTGATCAATCAAGCAAAAACTTAACAAAAGTATGAGAGTTGAAGTGTGCCTCTGAATGAACCTAAGAGATATCTGCAGAGTTGTGGGAGACCAGGCTATGTGATCCACCACAGAAATTGAGGCTTTGTGAACATTTCCGGCGGGGTAGGGGGGATGGGAGTGGGGTGGCAGGCTGCCCCCTCCCTTGTTTGTGTGCAGGAATTCTGAGGCTCACAGCACCCCCAGGGAAGGACAACATCAGCCTGAGAGCTAAACAAAAAAAATTACACATCCAGATGTGAGGTTCTTGTGTTCCCTGTTAATGATTTACATTTTCTTGAGCCTTGGATTGGTGACTGCTACATTGTTGTGTTTTACTAATAAAACCCCGACCTTCTAGATTCCTGGTGTTCGTGCACCCTTGAGATGGGAGACCCTTGAATGAGGGACCTCGTCCCTCTTGCTCGGAAATTTGTCTTTTTCTCTTTTATTCCTTGTCATACTCCCTAGGTCAGGGAGTATGCGGGCTGGCTCCTGCACAGAGTGTTTCATTCAAAAACAGCAGAATATACTGTTCTCAGAAGCCCATGGAAGTTTCTCCAAATAGACCTTACTTGAGGCCATAACCCAAGCTTGAATAAATACAAAATAATTGAAATAACCTCTGGCATCCTATCAGATAACAACAATGTAAAACTAGAAACCAAGGGAAAAAGAAACCACAAAAATGACAAACACTTGGAGATTAGATAACACATTCCTGAATAATCAGTGGATAACACAAGAAATCAACAAGAAAATTAAAATTTCCTTAGAGCAAGTGTTAATGGCAGTATAACATACCAAGCTTGTGGCACTGAAAGCAATTCTAAGAGTGAAGTTTCTACCTGTGTGTATCTATATTAAAAAATATAGAGTATTACCAAATAAATAGACTAATGTTGCATTTCAATGTTGTAGAACAAGAACAATCCAAATTCACATCTGTAGAGGGAAAGAAACTATGATGTATCCAAAACATATAATAATAAAACAAACACATATAATATCACAATAAACATATAATAAAAATGCTCAAGTGCACATTCTTGCTCTCTCACTCTTTCTCCAGTTCATTCCACTATCATCTCTTCTTTTTTTTTTCTAATTCATACCAACTGCTTACACCATCTTTGAAAAGGATCCATCTTCCACTTCTCCTTTGCAGCAGTTTGGATCTGGAGCATCCTTAAAACCCCACATGTAGAAGATTTGGTCCCCAGCCTGTGGTGTGATTTGGAGCGGCAGTTTCTCTGGAGGGGACAATGGGACGCTGGCCTGTTTCTCTGTGTCTCACCATAAAGATGTGAATTAGGCTTCTCAGCCGTGGGCTGGCACCATGATGAACTGTTGTACAACAACCTCAGAGCTACTAGGCCATATGACAATTAACCAAGGCTTCTGAAACCAAGCAACAAATGAACTTTCCAGACTTGTCATTTATTTCTTTTTATTCCTGTCCCTCTTATCTTGGTGGCAGAGAATGGCATGCTGTGCATTCTGAGGCATCACTGACACCTCCCCAAAATTCGGGCACGTGGTAGGAACTCAATGTTACTTATTAAAGGAGTCCACAAATAGTGGATGAACGTCATCCCTGCACAGAAGCATGCAAGAATTCAGTGCATACACTGGGAATTGAACCTGGAGTGTGCAGAAGAGCTACACACAGTACACACAACACAGATGTACACACACACGCACACAAACACACACACACACACGTACATCCTAAACTGTACTGTAGACTGAGTCTGGAGGGTGACAAGATGGGAACAAAAGTGAGCATATTGTCTTAGGAGCAGGAACTGCGTATGCAAAGCCTCAGAACCAGGAGGGCCTGGCTGGTAGCTATGGTGAGAATTTCATGGAGCAGGGAGAAAAGGCGATGGAGAGGAGTCCAGCAGAGCAGAGACCATGCAAGGCCTGCAGTCCTGATGAAGTATTCACCTGTGCCTCTGTCCACGCAGAAGACACACAGATGCTCAAACTGTGCAAGAAGTGGATGATGATGGTGCCTGAAACGCATGCTGGAGGCTGGTGATGGTAGAGATGAGGCAGGAGTGAGGTGGGTTTGGTGATCTTGGAACAGATGAAGTCCAAGAATGACCAGCATCAAGAAGGGCAAAGGGAATAAGGATGATCAGGGCAGTTCAGGCTCTGGAGGGGAGAAGGACCAGTTAGTGATTGTGGGAGAAGAGAGATGGTACCAGATCACACTGGAGATCCATACAGTGGTCCTGGCTTAAGATGAGGCCACTGAACCGTGAGCACTATGGGGACACAGAGGGGCGTCCAGGTTCAGTCTGGTGATGGGAGGCTCAGTTGTGGCTGAGCCAGGCGCTGTGGAGTGCCATGAAGGAGATGTCCAGGGAGAAGTGCTACGCTGTGATGTCACATCACTTACCTAAAGGACTAGTCTGTGACACTGTCCATGTCTGCTGCTGGACTTTTCACCTTTTTTCTGTGGGACATCACTCTAAATGGAGGGACCACAGCACTTCAGTGTGGGCACTGAGGGTGCAGGGGGCAAAATCAACTAACATGCGCCCTGCCGATGGGCTGGAAGGTTGATAGAAAGAGAGGGGAAGGCTAACTCCCAGTCCTCACAGTGGGACCAGCTAACTCCCCATGTTGGTCAGAGTTAGGGACGGATAACAACTGTCCCTTGTGCAGTTGCTATCACCTACTCAGCCCCTGCTGAGTCCCCACCCTTTTGACCTCCTTGTATCCCTGAGCACTCACTCTCTGGAGTTCAGTGTTGAATAATCTGCCGCCACTTCAGTGCCCTGTGCAGCCCTCACCTAAGGATGATGAGACAGAGCCCGAGAAGCAGGATCTTAACAGCCACTTCCATGACGGCCAGCAGCACCACCTCCGCCATGGGCTCTGATTTCTCTGCAGGAAAGTGGGGGAGGCTGGATTCCCCTATAAAAGGAACAGCCCAGTCATTTTTATCACCTTTGCCCTTGGATAGTGTCCTCCAGGTCAGTCTTTATCCCTCTCCTACTCCACACCTCAACTGTCAGGCAGGTGCACAGAAGAAATATAACTTTAACTTGTGAAAAGTAAAACTCTTGTTGTTCCTACACAGCGCCCCCAGCATTTGGTACTGTTGATTTCTTGAGAATAACTAGTCTTTCTGGAGTGAGGTGGAATCTCAGCATTGCTGTCACTTGCATCTCTTGAATTCAGTGATGCTCCACATTTTGCCCTTTATTCTGCATCTGAGAAGTGTGCATTCATTTCAGGTGCCCATTTTTGGATTGGGTCTTTACATTGGGGCGTATAATTGTTTCAGATTCCTTATGTATTCTAGATATTAATGCTTTGCTTGGGGAAAAGCTGGCAGATTTTTTTTCCCTCTCTGTGGGTTGCCTCTTCATTCTGTTGATGATTTCTTCCGCTGTGTAAAAGCTTGAGAATAAAATAAGATCCCCATTGTTGGGTATTTGTAATTTTTCTCATGAAATCATGGTTTTGTTCATAAAGTCTTTGGCTACACCTATGTCTTCAAGAGTTCTACCTATTCTCTCTTCCAGTAGATTTAGTGTTTCT